TACTTGACTGTCAGAGATTTAAAATACCGTCTGGTAAAAGATGTCGTCTAGTCGCTATAAAGAATCGCGAGAGTCATTTGAGCGGAAAAGTATAACCAGCTTATAAATCAGCGAGTTGCTTCGAAATTTACATTTCGAAATCGACAACACAATGCACGATCTACATACTTCATAATTTTATTTTTTATGAATTAATATGTTGTATGGACATTTAAAAATTCTAAAATGAAATTTTGTATAATAGTATTTACATATAATTACTTGCATATTGTGATTAAGAATGTAAACGTTTATTCAATTATAAAAAAGTGTAATATCGACAATATAATACAATGTTTTTTTTATTGAAATTCAATTATTAATCTTAAGATGCTTTAATTATTGGTTTTAATGTTATTGCCAATATTATATTATAATATTATTTTTTTTTAATCATTATCATATATAGATAGTAATTGTCAGTAGCATATTAGAAACTTATATTTAGAATGGGAGTAGGGGAAAAATTGTACGTATATTAAATATATACATAATAAAATAATAAAATAAAATTAATTTTTCTTTTTTTCTTATTTATTTGTCCATCACTCAATCAATTTCAATAGTTAACTCTCAATGAATTGATAATAAGGCAAGGCCATCAAATCTTTTTTGAAGCAAATATAAATTTAAAATATTTAATATTGTTTTTATCTAATAATAGTCGTATATTTATCTATACAATTCGTAGTACACAAGGTTGACGAAAATATCTGAAACATTGTGTTTCTTAAGTAGTTTTAATTCTTTAAATGTGGAAAAAGATCGCTCAGCACATTATCTTTTAATCAAATTAAAATTGTCTTCTATAACGATTTTGAAATGATTATTTTATTATTTTAGGGAGGAGGGTGAAAATTCTCAGCCCACAACCCCAGAAAATATGCCACTAATGATTGTATTTAAATTAAAAAATATAAATCTTTTTCTATGTTATTTTATAGGTAGATATACTACTAAACTTATCCTGTAGCATATTGATGCTCGTATCGTTCGGATCGTTCTTTTGATGACTGCAGATTTTCTCGTTAACTATCTTATGCGAAAAAATACAGATAGGAAATTTATATTACAATTTATAAGTACCTGACGTTAAGAAAATTTATCGTTTTAGTGAGATTTACCAATATAAAATATAGTACCTATGAACCTTGGAACACTAACCAGGATACGTCATGTAGACTTGTATTGAAGTGTAAATAATAATGTAGTTTAATATTAAAGTAATACTGTTTACTAATTACTCACTCTGCTACACCAATAAAATATATAATATATATACATCAGAGTAAGTTATAAATTATTATAACAACATGTTATAATCATTGATTCAAGGAAATCGTATCAAATAGTTAGCACTTAAATATAGTGTTAGTGAATATAGATACTAGATATATGTTAATATGTAATGTGATTATATTATTTTTGTTTTAAGACTTGAGAGAACATACTCATATTCTTACTGTACTTCAATTATCGTAATTCGGGTCGAATAGGTATCTACAGTATACATTATTCGTATTATTATTATTATTATTATTATTATTATTATTATGGAGTGTCTGATAACATATTTACAATATCTCCCATTAGACGTAGGTAAACCGTGTCAGTACCTACCTATGCACTCCATCAAACGATTTATTTACACATATGATTAATTAATCAGTACATCTTGTATTCGAGTGTTCCGTTTTGCTTAATTATAATATTATAACAGCATTGTTTTCCAAATATTTTTCTTTATATTTTCTCTGTTATCCATTTTATAGTTTTTCGAATACAAAAACATTTGAATAATAAAACAATTATATTATGTAAAAAAAGCGGGATAATATCAAGTAAATACTTCAAATAAATCAAATAGTTACAATAATTTAAATCAATATTTTCAATGTAGATAATAATATAATACTCTCTATGAGATAAATAACGCGATGACGTGAGACAAGTTACGGAAGAAAAATGATAATGATAAGAATCATTAATGCGATGGTAAATTTCTATAATAGGTACATTTAGTTAATGATGAATCATTGCCTACAAAAAATTGGACTAAAAAGAGATAGTTTTTAGATCTATATTTCTAAAGAAATTTTAACATACGTTACCCTATTTTCTCGCCAATAACTTTATATACATTTTTTTGTAAATATTTATAGTAGGTATAGGTACATAATTAGTTTGAATTTGTTGATCCTTACTTAAAATTTGTTAGACACTAGTTCAGTGGTTCAATCATAAGAATCGATTTTATCATATAGTAATAAATAATTTATTTTTCAATTAGTACCCTTAAAAGTTTAGAAATATTATAATATACCTAGTAATTTTAATTTAATTTAATTTAATATTTATAGCCGGTTACTTTATATAAGTCAATACCAACGTACCATATGATAATGATGGTTGAAATATCTTAACATTAATTTAAAAATTTTAAACATTTCATTTTTGTGTATATAATTATATAGCAAATAATATAATAACGAAAAGTTTCAAATTCATAAAAATTATATTTTTGAATCATAAAATAAAAACTAAAATTATTATTTTTTTATTTATGTGAGTAAATTAGTAATTTTAAATAGGTAATTACGTTGAAATGTAAACTTAAACTTCATAAAAAATACTTATCATTAATTTAGTATTAATTTTCTAAGTCTTAGCTATGAAGTTTGAAAATTATATAAATGTTGCATATTTTTGTGATTTTGACGACTTTTATTGTTCTACTTAAAATCTGAACTGACTTAAACCACAGAACTATACTTAAGATAAACCAGAATTAATGAAGTGTTTGAAAGAAATTTAATGAAAATGATTTATAAACACAATATTAAGTATTATAATATAAATTATATATTTGCAATAAGGGGAAACTTGTAAAAATATATTATAAAACATAGTGTTTAATTATTAACAGATTTATCGTTTTATGTTTGAATGGGTATAGTTTCTTATAAGAATCTATAATTTTCAAATACTATCTAATGAAAAGTAATATTTCATTTACGTTGTTGATTTTTCGAGTAGGTATCCTATATACATATATAATTTTATGTTTTGAAAAATATATGAATATTGAATAGGTACCTAACTACACTTCTATGGATAGAATTGTACAGTTATAATTATAAAATAATATTATGCTACAATTATTCATGTTATTTGTGTATGATGTACCTATTCATCTCTTATAACCACGGAACAATATAAATTCACAATTTAAATATTTATTACATTTTATTATAAAGTTGTTCATCGATTAGCAACTATATTATTATTAACATATTTTTCAAATAGAACTTTTTTTTTTACCTAATATTAAAACTTATTAATAATTTCCAACGGTTTATCTGTCTTCCTAAGGCATGACTATGGTAGATACATACATGTATTTAATAAGTAATTACGTTTTAAATATTTTACGATTCTAATTTGGTTTTTACATGATGATCTAATACATTTTGAGAGAGACAAAAATATATTGCTTAGTCCTTACTATACATTTTAAATGTTATATGAATGTGAATTCCTCAATTATATTGACATGGTAAAAACGTATGTTATGATTTGTCACTAAAAGTAATGTATATATTTATATAAAGTATATTATACTCGGTATAAACTATAGAACTTTTACTTCTATATTCCGCCACATATTTATTGTAAAATACGACCAAATACTGTTTTCAGCGTAGAGATAAATGAAACAGCTAAAAAAATTACACGCTGCATCATACGATCTCGTATACTCTTTGTTCTATCCATAGGACCGGAGGAATCGAAAACAGATACGTACAATCGGCTGAAATCTATATAATATAATTTTCGACCTTTATGACAGTAATAAACGTGTATATAAAACGGTCAAAATCAAAAACCATTTTTGAATCAATTCTTAGTTATCTTACGTTATGAACAAGGGTCTTACATTAAAAATTATTTACATTTATTATTAATATATTTTTTAACTTACAATACTTATAAATCATTGTACCATACAATACAATATTATAGATATACCGTCTTTTATTTACGTTTACTGGTCACAGTTTTTTATAATTATTTATTTTTATAATTTATTAATGTTAGATTAGATAAAATGGGCATAGTATAAGTCAAAATAACAAGTCATATAGTAATATCTATAATAATATAATATAGCATGCATACATAATAATGAAATTTACATTTAAGTTCTAATATTTATGAATTTACAATCAAATTAACTACCAAAATAGAAGTTAATTGGAACTAAAATATGCTAGTCTCGTGTGCACTGAACCAAGAATTCATTATTTAGATAGAGAAACAATGAGGAGTAAGGAAAGGAGTTTTACAACGTAACGAGTAAGCCGTACTTGAAAATTCTGAAATTCATAAATTGAAAGAGAAAAAAGACGAGAATAATATCCAGTAGTATCATTGATGAGCTTATTAAAGAAGGATATGTATCATAACCTAACCAAATCCGGATGTTATTCCTGGTTAAATATATACATTTTTTAAATCCACTTGGATATGACGAGCTAACAATATAATTAAACATGCGATAGGTCTATAACCAATACTACGATAATCACATTGTATCTACTTTTTGAATATTTTTATATTTTTAAAAATTACTTACTTTACTATGAAGAAAATAATATATAATGATAATGATATAATAATATATAATAATAATGATATAATAATATATAATAATAATAATATAATAACATATTATGCTATATTATTATAACATTTAATATTATAATATGATTTTAAAAGCAAGATATAGATAAGTTTTTTGATGGAAGCAATACGCAACAACACTTATGTGGGTATATATAAAACAATTGTGAGTAAAATATCACTCGATGATAATGACGTCTGAAGCTCTATACTTCAAAAATTATTATAAATTAATTTACGTTCACAGGATAATCTACGTATTAACTGTCGCGTTTATTAAAATATATTCTACGAACTTATGACGTTTATATAATATTATTATTATTAGTACTGTGAAAATTATAACGAGGAACCAGAGATTAAACCGTTATCGCAGTTGCGATTTGTTTCACCTGATTTATGTTATTATAAAAAATGGACGCGTCGCGTGTACTTTTCGCATTCTTCTCGCGGAACAGCCGCTACCGACGCAGTTGAAAATAACGCACATAAATTATACGCTAGCTAAAGTAAACACGCGGTATATCGTCATATATTTTCTTGGATGTATTTTCGCATTTATATCCATCATACGGAAGTCCTGGCGCTTGAACGCCCCTGAAGCAACATTTTATTTTGTATAATATTCACACGGTTTCACTGTCAACGCCCAAAATGTTCAACAAAATATCTGTTAACCATCTGAAACTGGTAAGCACATCTCAACGTCGAATTATATGTAATAGTTATGTTAAGTGCAGCTTTCTAGAAAAAAAATATGAGTCTTGAAATATGGTTGTATATTGATTTTTGATTGTTATAATTTTAGAAACATAGTAGTATTTATTATTGTTATGGATGGGTTTTCAAAGATTCGAACATTAAAAAATTCAAAAACTTTGAAATTTGAGAAAAAATGAAGTTTTAATTTAAAACCAATATCTTAGACAGTTAGAATATAATCAAGCTCGAAATTTTCGTGTATAATACTAAAACAGATCAATTAAAATTTTTTATTTTCAAGTGTATGTTATGTTCAGTTTTGAAAATCCTAATATTATACATCAACGATGATCGGTTTATGTGATAATAATTATTGTATATTTTAGACTTAAGTTTTTAGTTTTAACACTTGAAATAAGTGGTATTTAATAACTATTAATTTTTTTTTTTAATTCGTTTTAAAACAATTTAAATTATTTATACTCTTAAATCGTATAGGTCAATTTATTTCACCATTATTTTATTTAAAATTAGAAATGGCTGAAAATATTTTTAATTGTTAAAAATTTGAAAAAATTCGGAGTATAGAACAAAAGTTTAAATATAATATATTAAGTTCGAGTTTGAACTTTTGAGAAATTTAATTCATTCCTTATTGGAATGTCAATGGCATTAGTTTAAAAGTCTATTCATAAACTATATAGTCGTTTTTCACATTGATAGAGTTATATTTATTAATTTCTTATTTTTATTTATACATTTTAATTTTTATACAGTTTTTCACGACCAGTGTCATGTCGTTTCAACAGTATATTATTGGTGGAGTATTTGGATTTTCCGCCGTCATACTGCCACAACTGAAACTACCCAATGCTCTCGTCAAAGTCGATGGTGACCAAGCGTCCTGGATAGGTATGTTATATGTATAAATGAATAGAAATCTCCAGTCTTCTAAAAAATGTAATTTTTTGACAACGGTTTATAATACATTTTTGAACCAAACTAATTATTATTCGTAAAATTCAAATTATTGTATGCACACGTATACTCTTTGTATTTTAAGATTGTAGTTAATAATATATTGTAATAATTGTACACTTTATAATCATTTATGTTATAAGTGCTAAATTCTTAGATAACTGCTTAGGAAATAATTATAAAAACAGTCAATTATTATAGGCAATGTTAAAAGTTTTATACCTCTAACATATTTATCAATACAAACTCTTAGTAATTTCAAGTTTTTACAGAATTCTGGTATACGTTTTTAATAATTACGAAAAAAAATAAAATAAATTCTGTTAAAAACTAGTAATTATAAATATATCTATTCGATTTTTTTTTTTTTTGATTATCTAATAAAGTATTGGCGACATTTTTAAAGTTTATCCTTTAAGTACAAATTAGATCCAATTTTCTATTTGAAACTTTTTTTGAAGATTATAAAAAAAATACACTTATTGTTTCTCTTAAAATCTAATATCATTTTCAGGGGCTAACCCACTGTAAGCTTCCCACTCCCAATCCACCACCTATGATTAATAATAAAACGTACTGCAGTACACAAATCCTTTCATTACTTGGAAATTACAAAATCAGTAGGTAGGTATATTAAAAAATATTTCATATACTCGTTTTATTATTTCTATGAAAAGATTGAATATATTTTTAAGATTATTCCATGATATTTTTTATTCTATACAAGTAAACGATTTCACTCGAGGAAAAAAAAAGTATAAAAGTCTTTTTAATTTAAATAATGTGAGCATCCTCATTAAAGATCAAAGAAATACAATAATATCTCTAATGCTTACCTTTTTGTATAATATATTGTGATATGTGGTGGATAATGTAAAATATATTATAAATAATATTATATAATGTGAAGTATGAACGGTTTTAATTTATTTTATAGCAAGTCTTCCGCTCTTGTTATGTCCCATTGGCTCGCTGGTGTTCGGTTATTTATCCGACAGATTCGGCCGGAAGCTATCACTACAACTTACGTACGTACCTTTGATGATCAGTTGGTTGCTGCTCAGCAACGCCGAGTGCTTGAAAGACATTTACATCGGTAGATTGTTAACCGGATTATCTACTGGTGAGTGTATTATCATAAAATAATATAATATAGACGACGATTATGTTAAAGTAATAATATATCGTAATGAAAATTTAAATAACCTGATAGTTGACGACTGACGAGTCTATAAAAAGAGATTGTGAATGGGTCATTACTAGTTCATTAGTGTAGGTAATTATTACGTTTTGGTTATAAATTGATTGGTTCGTTAATTTATTACAATTATATGAGTGAACAGAAATAATAATGCTAATAAGTAATAATTATAATATGTATTGTATTATATAAGTACCACTCAAAACAACAATAAGCTAAACGATTTTTAACGGAAATTCCGTGTAAATACTATCTATGTACCTATGCATAATAAATGAAGCATACCTGAATGTTTTTGAGTAATACATTTTTCATTCGGTTTTCTCTTTAGTCAAAAAAGATCAAAGAAGTCAAAGATTGATGATTGCTTCTTTCCCAATGTTATTCCACTAGTCTTTGACAAAGGCGTGCGCACGGGAGCAGAAGATACACATACACCTTAATATATCCCTGAACTTATTTTCGAGCATCTGTGACTGTCTAATATTAAAATATTATGGGTTGCAATAAATTTAATCGTATATATACAAATTATATATACTGCACAATGATCATTATAAATAAAAACAATTTTAATAAAATTTTTTTTTACAGGGGGGGGACGTCTCATTGAAATTTTAGATTTTTTTTCTTAAATAATAATTAGCGTAACACGATGCATATATAGTATATACATTATCGTTTTTTTTCTTTCGAACCTTGTTAGGTATAGATATATACTGATATAATGATATATACAATGAAAATTATGTAGTGGCGTCCTTATTTCTATGTACCATATTATAGTCTATAATAATGGTAGTGTGGACTTTAGATGTTTTGCGGTCTTTCGGGTTTATCGACGCGTTGTTATTAATTCACGTCAAACGAGCATGGATTTCCTTTCCGCGACAAACTCGAAATTGTTATACATGTGTATTCGTATGTAGTGCAACTTGGAGTCTATAGACGCATTGTAGCCTGTAGGTCATTAAGCAATAAATAAAATATAATATTATAATATCAAATTCACCTCTGGCCCGTCTATCGAAACAGCGTTATATTGTTCGGTGACGCATATATTAAATATATAGCCAAAACCCTATACATGTTGGAATGATACAAACCTCAAGTAGGGCGTACATGCACGTACCGAGATGACATATATGTACCTACATTATTTGTGTCCTATAATTTATAGGCGTGAATACATCCGTAATCCGACCCGTCGGATTATTTTATAATTGTTGTTACAAGACTTCTAATGGGTTATAAAATATTGTTGTACAGTCGAAACGTGAGAGATTTGCGGCAGGGTAATAGTGTACCATATAATAATTTATGATAACTATAACGGTATATTATATTGTTGTTTATTGTATAAGGGGGTTGAATGACACGTGTTGTTATACAAAACGCGATGATAAACTGATCGCGCAGTATTGCTGTGCTGATCAAAATAATTACAATGAAATTTAAACCGATTAGTGATTATTCACGTACGTCAGCTGTATCTGTTACGGGCAAAATATACAATTTGGACATTTTCTACAAAACCCAGGCGTTGAATAGAATGACCCATTTAAATTGGGCAATATAGATGACATAATATTTATTAGTAATAAAGTATTGTTAAAATATAATGAATACAAATGAATAATGAATAATTTATAACATTAGAAAATATAATTTTTTTAATTTTTGTATCACTTGTTTTTGAATGTACTGCTTCCGTGGAATTTTTTACTTGGTAAAAAATGAATTATTTGAACTTTTTTTTAACAAATCATTTAAATCTGCATTAAACTTTTTCATATTTTAATTATAAGTTAGTACACAGTTGAACTACACTATATAAATGATTCGTGGTTACTAAAAAATTAATTTTATGAGAATTAACCTCCTAGACCTCTAAAACGTTCCTTTAAAACCGATAAGAACAAACGAAAAAAACACACTAGCTAATTCAAATCTACAAATAATAATCAGTGCTTAATCTGGCTCTAATGTTTTGACTATAATTTACTATTAAATATCATAATATTATCTGTATTGACCGATATAAGATGCCCAAATTATTTACTTTGCCCGTAGCATAAATATTATACGAACGATTGGGGGGTAATGGGTGCCTGTAGAATTTTTTTTCCTAGAAATATTAAAATATGTAACCGATCTCTTAACCGGTATCAGTGTTATAGTTTTGTGTACCGTATTATTAAGAAAGTAAGCCGAGTACGGCTAGGAGATCACACGATCACACAATGTGTTTTATTGACTACCGATTCTGTTCTGGTATCAGAACGGATTTCATTCTGTGATTAAAAACGATGAAACGACTTGATAATTACAAAAAGTTTATCGAAAACACGTCGATAATTATAAATGGATTCGAGTTTGTAAACCGGAATAAAAAAATTATTTTTCGCCTTAAATAAAACAGAAGCAGAACGGTTAAAATAATATAATATATAAGTAAATGCGACGACCGTGCTTTTACCGACCATTTCGGTAAATTAATTACTGTCTAAAAGATTTTCACTTTACCCGTTAACGCCATCTAAAACCAACACAGTTCGATAAAATTGACTAACAAGGATACAGCTGCCCTACCGCGAGGTGTGTAAAAAGACGCAATAAAATAGTTTAATATTTAGTTTATAAGTAGAATAGGAAGTAAACGTGATGAATCGAGGAGGAGACTGAGAATTTTATTTCTTTGAACAGTTTTCACGCCGAAATAAAAGTATCGACGACCAAAATGATAATAATAATAAGAACAATATTGTTAAACTCGCATGTTTCGCGTGCTCCTGCAGGTACCGGCGGCGTGATCTACGTGTACATAGCCGAGACGAGCCCGACGGACAGCCGGCCGTTCTTCCTGTTGATCTACACGCTGTACGTGGGCCTGGGCCTGATGACGTCCGCGATTTTGGGCGTACTGTTCCACTGGCGCACGGTGGCCGCCGTGTACGCCGCGATGTGCGCGGTCGGCTTCGTCGCGCCGTTCTTCGTGCCGTCCACGCCGATGTGGCTGCGGTCCCGCGGCCGGGACGAGGAGGCCCGAAAGGTCGAGCGGTGGTTCGGGTTCGAGCCCGACCGCATCGACGACCTGCCCACGCTCCCGCCGCCGCCGTGCGCGGCCGCGGCCATGGCCACGCTGAGCCGGGCCGACTCGACGGTCGGCGCCGTCGTGGAAACCAACGCGAGCTGCTGGGCCACGTACACCGGGCCCACCGTCTGGAAGCCCGCGCTCGCCGCCCTGGCGTTCTTCTTCTGCCAGCAGGCGTCCGGGTTCTACGTGCTGCTGTTCTACTCGGTGGACGTGATGCGCGACTGCCGCATGTCCACCGACGGCATGACCGCGGCCGTGTACCTCTGCGCCGCCCGGCTGGCCGGCACCGTCGTCAGCCTCGTGTTCCAGTCGACGGCCAAGCGCACGCTCACCGCCTTCTCGGGGCTGGGCATGTGCGCGTCCATGTCCATCGTGGTCGGTTACCTGTACGCGTACAGCGGCGTTCCCGACCCGCCGGCCACCGACCTGCTGATCGTGCCGTTCCTGTTCTACGTGTTCTTCGCCATGTTCGCCGTGCTGCCGTTACCGTGGAGCGTGTGCGGCGAGATGTTCCCGATGGCCGTCAAGGGCACCATGAACGGCGTGCTGTACTCCTGCGGTTACGAGCTCATGTTCGCCGCCATTAAGGTGTACCCGATGGTGGTGACCGCTTTCGGCATCAAGGCCGTGTGGACGGCGTTCACGTGCATGTGCTTCGTCACCGCCCTGTTCGGCGCTTTCGTCCTGCCCGAGACCACCGGCAAGACGCTCAACGAGATTGTCGACGGGTTTAGGCCGTCCAGCGACAAGGCCCGCAGCAAGAAAACTATCAAGCCTCAAATACCATAAACCCCACAAACCCGACCCCACGCCACCGCGGCCGCTCTTAAGGTCTTATTTATTCGTCGTCGTCGTCAACGTAGTTGGGTTGGTCAAGTGGCTGGAATTTCGATCAATAAAGCTGGGTTCACTGCTACACGTCGTCCGTCGTGTCCTAGAGTCGAGCCCGGCCCAACTCGCGATGGATCGCGGTTAGTGATTGATACCACGACTACAACCGCGGCCGATACGATACAAGGAACGTGACGCGACAGACGACGTAGCTGCAGTAAGTCCGACTTAATAGTGTCCGAAATTTATTCATAGTACCTACACTATCATACTGCATATTGTAAATATTGAAAAATATAAATTTTGGCCGAGTCGCGGTACGTGAACACGACGATTGATGACGCGTCACCGCAATACTGATAAGATTGTACATTTTGTATCGTCACAACAACAGTAATACCTGAGTTATTGCCGATTTAAATAATTATCACTGTCCCATGTACCATATTCCTTATGTATATATATATTATATTTTCCTTTCCGATACCGGTTAGGTCAAGTGTGCATAATTTAACGTGTTGTACTCAGTACGACGCTTTGACCACATGTCCACATACGACTCATAATATGACATGTGTCGGTTGTTACGGAGTAACAATTTTATGATGACCCATTTTTACGACAGTTTAATGTTATAATATAAGTACTATAAGTCTATCATATATTATATCCGTGTAAATTATATTTACAGTGTATGTCATATATATTTTTAAGTATACTATTGGGATCGATTAGAAAACTAAAACATGATATCTCCTTAAGTTTAATAGTGTTTGTTAGTATTATATATAATTAGAATTATTGAAAAATTGTATATTTTTTGTAAAAACTGTATCATTGCAGGTAAATAAGATATTTCCTTATGTATAACTATGTCTACCCTATACACTCATGAAATTAGTAATATTGTTTCAATACTAAATGGTCTAAATGTGTTGAAAAAATTGATAAGAATAAATAAAAAAAAATATTTTTTTTAAACGTTTAGTGGTATTTTTTTTGTAGTAAGTAAAATGTATGTTTGCGTAATTAATGCGACGCGTGCAGTGTTTACTAATCGAGTATTAAATATAATTTAGTAATGCAATTAATATTTTTTATGTAAATTATAGCTTTTAACGAAACATAATATATTGATATTTACTGTAATAGGTATACGTATTGTGAATTTATATTGTATTATGTTAATATGTATTATGTATATATTATTAAAAAGGTGGTTTACGTGGCTTTGTGGCGGGACATCCCATACATATTGATTTTTGTATATGTATATTTACCTATATTGTACATAGAACTTCATTCAACTGGAAAGCACTTCAGCTTATTTTTCATCAGCTTGCTTTATAAGTTAAAAATACAGTTGATGCTACGGAAATTTTGTACAATACACCATTATTACAATTAGGTACTATGTATAATTTTTATAGATAAAGTATGTGAAAAAAATGACTTATTATTTATTAACATATTAATATTTTTTTGTAGTATAAATATTATGAAATAATCGGAAGCTACACTATACTGACATACTACTGTAGATTTTTTTTAAATATAAGTATCTGACGCATATTTATAAACATATCAATCTGTTTGGTAGGTAGGTTATAGGTACTTTATTTACGTCTGCAATTAAATTAAACATACATAATTTCTCATAATTTATGCTAATGGCAGCTGGTATTAAATAACGAAATATTAATAACATTTTAATTTGCAATACCTTTATTCGATTTAGGATTTCAAATAGTACCTTATACATTTTCACTCAAGATCATAAAAAATCATCAATAACACGGGACTGTTTTAAATTTATAATAAAAATGTAAATTATAGAATATTATTTATCGTATAATTACCATCTCGTTGTTAAATAATAAACTAGTATTTAGTTAAAAATTGCTTCTATAGAAAGATTCATTGTTGCGTGCATGCAGGGTTTAGTAAGGGTAATGACAAAAGTGATAATAGACATATCAATATAATAAATATAATCAATAACATATTCTTATTTGTCAGGTTTTATTTTATAGTATAATATTATGGTTGAACAGTGAACACTTTAATATAAGTGATAGTTGTAATTTACACAAGTCAAATTGAAATTTCGTATGTTTTATTTTTACAATTCGTATATTAGCAATATAAAATTCCAGCGAACACACAGCCAGAGAACAATATCATACTATAGTATATCTGTACACAATTAATAATATTATAATCGTTAGACGTTAATAGTTTTAAAAAATAAAATAAAAAAACTGCAGCACTGCGGCAGGTGTTGCAGCGACGGCGGGTATTGTACTACGGTATGTGAATAGAAATGTTTAGTCTTTGTTCGCATAATATTAATTTGACGTTCTTACAATCAATGTCGTTTAAAAACTTAAATCTTACGAAAAAAAAAAAATACAATAAAAATAGTACACATACAAAAAGAGGAACTTGGGCTGTTAAACACATTCACAAATACTTCAGATAATTATGCATGTGTGGCTCGAAGTTTGATCGCGTGATGTTGGGTTTGTTTTTAGGGGGGGGGGGAATTAGTAAAATGCTAACGGTAAAAAAACCGTGTTCGTATAGATCACCAAACGTACATTTTGAATGATACACATACTCACAAAAATCAAACTCAATTACACACACATATCATAATCAAAATCCTTATATAGGCGCATATCAAACAAATGCGTTAATAAAAAAAAAAAAAAAAAAATATAATAAAAATAATAATATAATAATAATAATGATAATAATAATAATAATAAATTATAGTTGGCACTGTGCGTGTATATAATACATACACGCAGACGAGCAGGGCGTACAACCGAACGTGAATGGTTTTAATGGATATGTTTGTATTGTTTCGACGTGATTTGATGATGATTGGACAGGGAAAAAAGGAATCAGCCATATAGAGTGATGCAAGAAAAAAAGGTTTCTGTCGGTGTCGCCACTGTCCACTGCAGCGCAAACATGCTCGTAAAAAACACAAACACAATGTGTGCACAGTGCACACATTATGTAGGTTAGTGTTTAAAATACCGAATAATATTATATAATAATTGTTGTGACAATACACAAGACAAAAAGGAATTAAACAGTTCTGTTTGTTGTTATCTCTCTCACTCTCTCTTTCTCTTACACCTAAACGATGTAATAGTCGTAGTGATGATAATGATGGTGTTCGTGTATGTGATGATGGATCTTCTTGGACGCCAATTTGGCGCGTTTGTACCGCTGATGATCGATGTTTTTGGTCTGCTCCTGAGCGGCAGTTGTGGCTGCAGTGGTGGCGGTGGCCGCCGCGGCAGAGTCCTTTGACTGTTGCGGGTTGCTGCCGCTGACTACCGCGGTGGCTCCTCGGTGATGTCGGGAGTGACCCGACGAATACTTGACTGCGTACTCCTCGGTCGTCGCACCGTTACTGTACAACTGCTGCTGCTGGCTTCTGACGTTCTTGAGGTGCTCGTACTGTCGGTGATGGTGCTGTTGCTGCTGGAGGCGGTGGTGGTGTTGGTGCGAAGGGATGTGCGCAACCGGTTCAAAGTCGTAAGGGCTCCACGCCACCTTGGCCGGAAGGGCTCCGGCAGTCTGGCGACGCTTCGTCCGCGGCCTATGGTAAACGACTTCCGGCTTGTTGGATTTTCTAAATATATAAAAAAAAATTGTTTTAATATAAATTTTAAGCACCGATTTGCATATATTTATCCTATAGTCGATCAACGAAAAATATATAGTCGGTATAATGTTCTCTGCAACGTTTCACGCCACGAACCTAGTGATTAAATTAGTGAAGAGGTGATTTTTTTTTAATGAACTGTGTGTAGTTCAGTGTTTGACACGACAAAATTAATATTTTAGCCAAATATGAGTATTATTTCTATTGTAAGGGGAAAACGCGTATCGTTAAATGTTAATAATACAAACGATGATAAAATAATATTTTTTACTTATATCGTATATGTTCATAGGTGCTGATATTAATAGGTATTTATAGCCTAAGTCCTACAGCGTAGGTAGCGGTAGGTATTACCAAATATTATGATAATTCAGTTATTGAAACTGAACGTAAATTTTTGGCATTACTGGGCTATAGGTTTTCGTCGTACTCAAGTCCTCTGTACAACGTTCACAACGAGGCTAAAGATATGTTTCAATTTCCAAGCCGGAAGAGGCGGCGAAATTTATATTACTTTAAATTTTAAACAGCTAAGTCTATAAATAATTATTTTATCTACTCCCTAGAAACACGTCCCCGTGGGTATATACGCGGACGGGCGTCATCTTTCGTCGTCACATGTGACGGTTCGTTTTGGAGAGTGTCAGATTTGGACCGAGTTCAATACACACGCACACACACACGCGCGCGCGCGTGCACATATTACGTAAATCGGTAAAACGTTTACAATACATTATTAAAGATAAGGTATACAATATTATTATAATCACCCGGCAATCTATATAGAGGTACACGCGAAATTCCTTTTTCGCGAACCGACGAACAGTTATTATGTATACAACATGCGTGTTGAATTTATATACCGGTCGGCCTCGCTCGAGTATTATAACTGTATACAATATATTATTATTGTACATGCGGCATACATATATTATAAATTATAATAAACGGACAACGAAGACGATGACAACGACGTTATGATTTTATTTATTTATTATCGCTGCCGCGGCCGCAAAGTTTATGCGCGTTATCTCTCCAGGCTTGTTTGAAGTTTTGATTTATTTATTATAATATGTAGGTACATTGGGCGATTATGTAAAACATACGCGTCACCGCGAATCGGAGTTTATAATTCAGTTGGACCGATCGATAACGTAATAAAATTCGCGTACGATGAAATACGAGTGATCCGATTTCCAAAAGTCCATCGATAACGGATAACTGTCGCAACCGGCAAATGCAAATTAAATTACGATAGATATATATATATGTATTATATTAATTTATTGTTTTTAGCTATTATGACACTCAATTGTATTCGTGCTATAATTTTTAAGTTTTATAACACACAAGTCAACCAGTTATGTTTTAACTTTTAAAACATATATTATACTCGATTTAATTTCGAACGTAACAATTAGGTTTAATGATACAAATATATAATAATTAAAAAACGGTGTTTATTCCAACCATATGTTTTTGTTTAAAGTGTTTGGACATGTTTAGTATTATTTATTATAGCCTATAGTTAATAATAATACAGTTATACATTTTGCATTAGAGACCGATTTTTAATTAATTACACGATTGTATATGGCATTACAAACCTTTGATTTTGAAAACTCAAGTTTTCCGCCAAACTTCTTTGTACCATTTCAATCAGTTGTTCGCGCCTGTATCGTTGTGCACCCAGCTTGGAGCTCCTGTGATGCGGCAACCAGGATCCTTTGACACCGTCGTAAACCAAAGGATAGCCCGATTGCTCCAACAGTGTCGCATCGTCGAACACCCCGGATTCGGCGGCGTCTATCTTGTTACGATGTCTGTCCGCCGAAGATTTGGTTTTACGCTCGCGGCTGCTTTGGTGGCCTCGGTACGGCGTACCAGTCGTTGTGCTGTCCACGACTACCGCCATCGATTGTCTGATATTAAGCGTCACTTTGACGGATCGCTGGCCACGCGACGAGAATTTCGACGTCGTACCGTACATAGACTCGAGTATTTTTCTAGCCAATCCTTCGACATCCTACAGTAGTGTACATATATAAATTGTTATTATACATGTCGACAACATGAAGATAAGCACAAAATTAAAAAAGGCATAAAAAATAATAATAATAATAATAATAATGGATTTGACGAGTTGCCAAGAACGACGGTGCTGGCTTCCCCAATGGGATTTCGAGAAATTACATATTACATTTAATATATATCACTATTAACTGACAATGTGTCTGTGAAACAGTGAAATGTGTCTTAATTGGAACATCAAAGGCAAACGGGTAAAAACAAAGAGATCCCGTTGTTGTCGCGCCTATGAGAAGTTTCACAGACAGTTTGAGTGAACTACTTTGATTGCATTGCCAAACATCAGAAGAAACGATTTGTTATTTTTAAATGCGTTCCATTTAAAACCTTTCAAGTCAGGGCAGTGGACTATTATATACCATAATGTGTTTATTATTTTGCGGGTATGTATAAAAACGTAATGTACCTATCGCGTGTAGATACATTTTATTTTTAGGTCGGAGTATACAATAGATTTTTTAAGTATATAAACAATATTTATCGTCATATATCCGGTATGATTTTTAGGAAGGGTTTTATGACCAGAATACAAAAAAACCACGTGTAAATGTAACCAGCAGATGAACCGAAAAAATAAATTTGGGGTTGGTTTGAACCCGGAATACCTACTAGCCACTCCCTGTAGAACACGTAACAACGTTGTATACCTACTGACATAAAATGTATTGGTACATATATTGACTTACGTGTTTGGTGATTTTCCCATGACCATCGGTGTCGGAAAAGGTGTACTGAAACTCGTGTTTGATAGGTATTCCGTCCAGCGACACGCAGCAGTCGTATACCTGCTTTAGGAAGAAATCCGTTACGATTTAAATACTTGAAATATTTAAAGCATTGTAATATTTAGTATGTATGAATGGAATACTCACGTCACTAAGTTGCTGTGGGGGCGATGGCGAAGTTTGTGAAGTAGGTGGTGGCGGCGGCAACATCGGACGCTGGTGTGGGGGTGCGGCGGCGTTAATTAATTCATCGTCAGCAATTACCGAGGAGGTATAAGCGTAATTGATGGTTTTCGAACTGGCCGAATCAATTAACGTTTCCATGCTACCAGTTTTCGAGTCCAGGATACCTGCAAAACGGGAAGTGGGGAAAAATGTCAATTAAAATCCACTTAAAGACATTAACATAATTTACAAATTTACGTGCGCGTACACACGATAATATATAGTATATGTATTAGAGAATGGCGGTTTTTCAATTAAAAATATTTAATAACTGGAATCTGGTATTACATCGCCGCCGCTACAACAGCAGGATACGGTGAAACGCATCAAAAAAGCAACAGCGGCGTGTACCTACGCTTTTGTTTTGTTTTTAATTTTTTTTCCGACATTTCCATTCTCACCCGTCCGGAGGAAACGTGACGTGATTTAGGGTAAAAACCAGTTCTTGTCTATTCGATCGAAATGCGTGGACGAGGGAGGGAAGAAGTCGGACAATACGACTGTAATGAGTGCGCGCGGTGTACCTACATATTATTACGTATTTTTATAATATATTCGCGGGATGGGAGAATTAGGCACCATCTACACGAAAAACGGAGAACGGAGCTGGACCTCGGTATGTACGATTGTACATAATTATGAATAATTATAATATTAATATAACATACCCCGAAACCCGACTGCTATATACATGTTTTTATTCCCTTACCCATAATATTATACGAGTCTCGTCACGCACGCGTAGCCACACGGGCATATAATATAATGTATGACTATCTGTAACGATATATTAATTTCGTTTTTAAAGAGTCTTGACACCATTTCGTCGTGGATTCGTGTGCTCATAATATTATAATATATTATTATTATAGTATGAGTATAGGAGAGACGAGAATGTATTATTAGGCAAGAAATAGGAATGCACGCGGTAAAAACGAAGAGCGATAGTAGGGGTGCGGGGGTTAGCTGGGGCAGAAAAAAAAGAGACAGATCGAGAGAGAGTGTGTGTGTGCGCGCGAGAGGAAAGACGACGACGACGACGACGATAATGTTATAGAGGCGCGCACACACACACACACACACACACACACACACACACACAAAGAACGTCCAACACGGCACACGGCAACAACAACACACACAAACGCGCGCGATCGAGGAAACGAAACCGGTTTGGTTGTCGGCGACGTAGACCGGAGGAGGCGAGAGCGGCGAACGTTTGATACGTACCGCCGAGCACATCCATCCATCCATCTTCTCTCCCACAGCCGAAGCCGCGCGGCGACCGATTCAACTCGCATCACACACACACACACACACACACACACACACACACACACACGAGCGCGCGCAGTTTCTACCGAATAAAAACATAACAGAACAATAGACCCACAAACTAGAATATAATATTATATTAGTACGTACACGGGTATTATATGGTGTGTGTATGTACATTTTTTCTCGACCATTTTCGTGCCTACTCTGGCTAGGCTATGACGACGACGATTGTTTTTTATTAGTGAGCATATAAAAAAATATTACCTATAACATCTCCGGTAAGTTCTAATAAACCCTACCGCGCAATTGATACGTGTACGTAAAACGCATAATGGGGAATCAGAAAAGGGGATGGCGGAGTTGTGTGCGCGACCTTCGTTGAAATCTTTTACTCTACTTAACCGTGATCTTTTTTTTCTTTTTTTTCTGAGCGGGAAGGGGAGGATAAGGGGAGTAAAATAGACGAAAAATATGTCTATGATACACTCGATCTCGATTATTATTATTACGATTTTTTTCGGAACCGGATTTCTATGCTAATAACACGTTTCCATAGTATTGTTCTGTCCCGCGCGCGCGAACGACGGCGTTACAATCATCTACGGGCAACGGACCGAATGTAAGTGTGAGTATGCGTGCGAGAGCGTGTGGGTCTGAGCGAGAGGGTGAGACCGCGCGCGCGTGTGTGTGAGAGAGAGTGAGCGAGAGACGAAACAACATGCGGCAACAACGTTTCAGAAGAGATCCTTGGTTGAGATATATAATCTTGGCCTTGACTCTTAGCTACAAAGAGTACCGACAAGGCGGAGCCGCCGACATAACATTAGTCGTCGGCCGGCTGGTCGGTAATATTCTTTTTTTTTCTTTTCCTTATATATATATATATATATATATGTGGCATATATAATATATATATATAAATTTTCCCCTTTGTATATTCGAACGCGCGCACAACACATGACACGTCATTATTTTATATTATATTATATACGTTTTTTTTTTTTTTCTGGAGGATAAAAACCGCTCGGACTTATCGTCGTCGCAGTCGTCAATCCCCGGAGAGATTGTAAAACGCGGTCGCGCACCCGCGTATGCGCGCGTCAGTGGCCGACCGAACAACTGAAAAAAGACCGCCGCGTTCGTGTATGTTATTATACGTCTTATACGGACACAGCCGTAGTGTTCGACCGACTAGGGAATAATAATAATACGTCTTGTTATTTCTCGTTGTGCCCTCACGAATTCCAAACTTAACTACCTACACACCCACCATCAAAAGAGAAATCGGACATACCCACGGCGCGATGGGTGCCAGCAGGGCCGGAGCTGACGCGATTTTCGTGAATTCGCAAACGCCGTTGTTATTGTTATCATTGCGATACGCATATGTCGGCCGACCGCGGTGTAAACACGGTAGCGATTAATTTTAGCGCTGACCGCGGCGGACGACTTACACGTGTTCGCGGCCGCCGCGAAGAATTGGCACCGAAACGGCACGCCGTCCTCACGACACCCACGTCCTTGAACCCGTTTAACAAATAACAATATTTATTATACAATGATATAATATGCAATTAAGTATCAAGCAATTATAATATTATAAAGTCCGATAACGCCAGACACAAACATTATGATATTATTATCATCGTTTTGAATAATATTAATAATAATAATAATAATAATAATAATTACGATCAACGCGCGCAGTGAATACGTGGCCCGTCCGATTGCAGAAGTATAATATACTATATTATGGTGAAGAGAAGGGGAAAAAAAGGACGCACGGAATGTGTGCGCCCCATGAGGCACAAGAATGCGGCGGACGACGAAAAGGGCCCGAAACGATTTCGGGAACTCGACCCCCGCGCCCCCCTCTTCTCGTAAATCCCCACCCCTGGACAAACCGAGTGGTTGGTGCCCGTGCACGCCGTCGGCACACCGTATCGGTTACAAACGGAGCGCGCACACACACACACACATTAACGCACACATGAAACGACTGTACGGCGGCGCGGAGAGACGACGATGACCGTTGTAACGTTGTTTATTGGGCCGGTTCTCGGAATGTCGGCAGATAAAAACCAAACGGTGCGCGCGAGGCCCGTCCGAGTTCCACGAAGTCCGGCCGACGATATGACCGGTGTCTCGCGCGGTTCACATGACGTGTATTACACAATACAAAAACACCGTTTACGCACACCGCGCACATGCGACGGGGGTAAAGGCCCAGGGTCCGTTTCAGTTAACGCAAGAGTCAAGAGTCCACGAGCGCCGCCACTCTCCGATGAACGATGCGTAAACGCGCGAGTGCGGAGACGAAGCACTGTCGTCGTCCACGTCTCCTCCCCGTTGTGGCGGCGGCGTGCTGCAGTGGATTTCCCGCCCGCTTCGGCTCAGCCCCTTTCGCCGCCCCGTGTTTTTCGTGCGCGCACACACCGGAGATAGGACAATGGACGTTCTATTGCGACCGGCAATAACAATAATACATAGCGCGGAGAAATTAAACACAAACACGAAAGCCGGCCGGTGGCAGACTTCCGGAGTGCTGGCCCGAGTGGAGGAGTTCTGGTCGTATGGGTGTGTGACAGGGGGAGGGGAGTGGAGGTAAGAGGGAGCCAGAGTGACGGGAAAAGAGAAAGAGGGAAAAAACACTATACATAATCTAAAACATGTAAACAAAAAGGCGTGGGTCGCCGTCACACACAAGGGGACCCGCCGGTATACATGCGGCGCTGCACCACCCACAAACATTCCGTGTTTGTTCCTCAGCTGTGTGTGCGTGTGCGTGTGTGAGTGTGCGTCTTCGGTGTAAACCCATGCCGGGACTTGGTTCACAATCGCGGGAGACCCGGGGCGCACGGCGTCACACAATGGTGCGAGCCAGCTGGATACCGCTGCAGCGGGAGCGATGGAAAACATTATATTATATTGTTGTTGTTGTTGTGTGCGAAAGGCGGCCAAGGGGGTGGTGGTGATGTCGGCGGTAGAAAGAAAGAAAAAAATCCCATTTCCAAGGAAACACGCGGGCCCCTCTGAATTCCTTTGCAGCAAGAGATGAAAAAAAAACCGCAGGTCTACGTGCCGTCTCTACAGCTCTTCTCTCTTGTATTGTTGTATAATAATAATAATAATAATAATAATAATATAACGCTGCGTGCACAATATGCAAGTATGCAACAGATCGATCACGCAAGTTATACGCGACGGAATCGAATTGATTCCACAAAAACCACACGTCCACACACACATAAATATATTATATCAATAATATATGTACCACACATACACACGGGCAGTACGACAAAGATCGCCGAGAAGTAGGAAAGTGGTAGAGGAGAGACACAGGCGCCTGTAGAGTGTTGGAGCTCTTTTTTTGATAATTTTTTCACATTATGTTCGAGAACTGTACGAAATAACGCGTCAGTTGCAATTTTTGCGGCAGTATCGGTGGCTTTTCGTCTCGTCCGTCACGCCGCACATGCATTGCGTTTAGTCTTCCGCGGCGGTAGTATAATAGTGGTTCATCGACCCTCGACGGCAATTTGCCGCCGACTCTTGGCGGCGATTGCGTGTCACAACAATCGTGCGCGCCAAATATACTCATTCGCCTTGTATATAATAATAATTGTACACGATATACACTGTGTTGTACAAATCGTGTAAAAAAATACGATGCAATATGTCGATACCTGTATAATACAGTAAATTATACTAAATTACTCGACGATAGAGTTACGTATTATCACACAGTTAAACGATATTGTAAACGGACCACCGGCGGTGTACTATCGGAACCTCGAGCGCGGGGCCTGACGATCTTCGTTTTCGGTTCCGCAGTATCCTGTATCATCATACAGAAATTGCATTTTTCGAGCCGCTTTTCCCGTATCCCGTTATGTAATGCTTTATTACTTCGATGACGAGATAATAAACAGAGCCGGCGGCGAAACAACCGTTAAACAAGAGTCGTAAAGCGAGTGGCTTAACGAGTATGGGGTATGCGCCTCATTGTAAATACCTACAAGAACGCTCAGTACGGGCGTCGCATGGATCGTCGCGAGAGACTACAATGAGTCTACTATACACCCGACCTTAAACGGGAACATCCCACGCGATTTCGGAAACACTAGACGACGGTAATAAAACAGTAGTAATAATGTTTACCTGTAGAATATTTTCGTATCCACTTTAGCCATTCCATTTTTTTGACCAGTCCCATGAAGAAGGTAACTGATGCGCGCACTGATTACAATAACCAAATGGAAAGTTAAAAAAAAAAAAAAACAAAAAATTTAACTGTTACAACAGTAAAAAGACTTCGTCAAAAGTCTTGAACGGAAAAAGAAACGAACACTCCTTTTAGATGTAATAAGTAAATAATAATAACGAACGTTAGAACCCGCGGCCAATGAGGACGTAATAACGTACACAACTCGCGACGAGCTGCGGACGCGCGGTGAACAACGCACGCACGTGATACTCGTTCGACTGCTGACGGGCGACTGCCGTAGTGCCGTTGCGGCGGCAGTGGCGTCGGCGCATCGGCAAGGCGACCGCCTATACGGTACGGCGTGACACACACTCGCTCATCCTTGGGGCCTCGTCGGACCGTCGCCGCCGTACGGAATACCTGCCAACCCTCCCGCTCCACACCGCCCGCCGACCCACAAATACACTGCGCTCGCCGTTCCGGGGGCCCCGCGCGACCGTTCTTTGAAACGATACCGCGCGCGCGCGCACACATGTGTGCGTAGGTACACATATACCTTGGTCTGTGTGCGTGTTATTTTCTCGGTCCATTATTACCCGGCACGTTTTATATACGTATAAAGGTACCTACCCATTCTTTTCTTCACTTTTACCATTATTATTTTTACGATTATTATATGTTACGCTCCTCGACACACACACACACACGCGCGCGCGGGCATGCATGCACGCACACACACACACACACACACACACACACACACGCACTATCCGGTATACCGCTGGGCATGACGTATGGCGGGCCGTGTGTGCGTGTGTCCGCGAGGTACCGACGGAACGACGGGACGACGACGATCATGCGCGCGGTAATTAGGAGTCGGGAGGTGCGATTATAATAATAATAATAATATTGTTGTGATATAATATTATTATTATTATTATTATTATGTAGAACGCGCGTTTTCATTCGGTGGTTCTCAATGCGTATATAGGTGTGCTTCAGCGATCGAGATAATCGACTCAAAAGTTGATTTCACACCATATTACGATGGGTACATACTTCATATACGTATCAAAAAAAAAAAAAAAAAAAAAAAAAAATAAAAAATAAAAAATAACCGGCCCGAGAGTAGAAGTATATTATAATAAATGTACATTGCAGCCGGTATAATTTGTTTATATTATTATTATTATTCATATATATCGCGAGTACTGACGAGTTATTGTGACCGAGCAAAATAATCGCGTGTAAGAAATCGTAGTCGATCCGGTTTCTGCAGGATGCTGTATGTTAATAATATAATATGTACATAATATTAAATATAAATACATATATGTATGTATACAAACTACAAAGTACCGAGTATATAATATTATTAGGACTTAGGAAGGACCGTACGGATATAATATTATCTACTATTTCAATATTCGGACTAGGAACTCGGATTATTTATAGCATTGTCTCGTAATTATTAAAAAATACACATACGAGTAGCGTTACGATCGTTTTATGCATAAAGGATTTCAAAATGTAAGTACATAATACGTGTATTGCAGCTGTCCAAAAAATACTCAAATTTTCAATTCAATATGTCTTTTCAGTTTTCTGGTAGAAAAATCTATAGTTGGTATTTAGGAAGCTTAAAATCAAAAATGCCTAGTATTTTTAAAATAATCAGGAAAACTCAAAAACTTATTCGATTTACTTATTTTGTACATAATTCAAAGACGAATAACCGTGAATTTAATACAAAGTTCCTTATAAGTTATTTTAATTGAAACTAAAAAATAATTTATCTTAAATCTACAATAATTTATTTTGATAGTTTACAGTTAGAATTTTGACAAATTTCTCAAAAAAAAAAAAAAAATAATACAATTATTTTGTGATTAGAACAATTCATATTTTTAATATGTATACCTAAGTTGAAAATGTAATACAAGGTTCCTAATAATTTTTTTGCACTATAACAGATATACTATAATTATGTAAACGAAATTTTTTTTATAGACATTTTAAGTTCAAATTTGTACAAAACAAAATATAACGATTTAAGTTATTTAATTATAATTCAAAAATATTTTCGGAGAGATATGAAGTTTTCTCGTACAGTTTAATAATATACTCAATGACATTTCCAAAACATTTTGATTTATTTTTTGCCATTTTTCTTTTTTATTACGGACCTATTTAAACCGTTTTACGGTAGTCAATAATAAAAATAATAAATGTTTTAATTAAATACTGTTATAATTTATAATAATTAAAGTTAATAATATTTAACAAATACAATGTTTTCATTAAAAATTAATTCAACAGTAATTGATTCTATAGCCGATAGGTATATAATTACTATAATACTATAATAAATTATTTTAAAATCACTTTAAATAAATGATAAAACATAGTTAATAATATTATAGCCCTACAGGTCCTTTTCTGTATTCATTTTTTACTCTTTGCATGCAAATTTCGTAAGTACGAGTAATAAATGATGAATTGCACTCGAAACCTATACTGTTAAGCAGAGTATTCTGAGTATTCATCTGATTCCATTCTTACTATTGTTATTATTTGCATGTATTTAGAGAGCATATTCCAGTATTTTTTAATGCTCAAGTTCTGAACCCTGTTTATGTTTATAATTTTAATATATATATATATAGAGAGTCATTAATATTATGTTTTATGGAAATAATCATTAATTCTCTATTTATCAAGTGTTTCCGGAGATTAATTTAATTTAAAAAAAAATTGTTCTTGGATTATCAAGAAAAAGGCGCATATTAATTCCATTGATTGTAGATAAATTATAGACTCCGTCGGGATTCGACTACTGTTTACCATATCAACATTTTGATTTTGCTTTAAATATGTTTAAAAATGTTAGAAAGCAGCCATAAGTAAACTACTAATATAATAAGCTATTAATAAGCTTTATTAATATTTTTAATAACAAAGGCATAATATTTTTAATTTTTTAGTTTTGAAAATAAGCGAAAGTTATAATACTAGTATTTATTATACACATTTTAAAATGTATAATATAATATTATATTTAATATAACTTTATCGACTATCGTCATTATGTTAACATGAGTATCAAATAAAAAATAAAAATATATAATTACTTGATTCTTCTTGGTTTTTTATATGATATGTAGGTATTTTCATCATAAATTAAATAATGTATGATTTTATTTTTACAGTACATTTTTTATTTATACATATTCAAAAGAATCTAAATATAGATACATAATTTTTTTAATATATTTAAAATTATTATACAAATTTTAACTAATAAATTAATATACACGTTGCACGTAATATATATAGAGCGTTTTCGTGAACTAGATCGACACTAATTAGTAATTTTAGGTGAGAAGTAATACAAAGAAAAGTCCACATTTTAATAAGAAGATTTTATCCTATAAAAATATAATACTTTAGTCAAAGATATTCAGATACATTTTATCATAAAAGTAAGAGAAATAATTATTATATAAACCTGTTATATATAGATATAGGACACATAGATTTATTATATTATTTCGTGTACTACGTTTCCATAAAATATTAATATGTATTTTATTAAATTTAAGATTCAATGGAATCAATAAATACTTACTACATAGTGTATAATCATAGTCATTCTATAAGCGGTATCGGACGGAATCAATAAAAACCTTATTTTAAAACAAAAATGTTCATAAATAAATCATAAGTCAATAAATCTTCCAACAAAGGTATTAAACTTAGTTTGAATCGATGCAAGAACACTAATAAATCTAGACTATTAATACATTGATTACTTATTATGCAATGTAAATATGTTCATTATAAAAATTTAAAATGTTTTCAAGCATTTTATTCTAAGGAATTTTTAGTCAAAATTATTTTAATAATAATTCGCATACACACCTAAGTATAATAAAGAATAGACTAGTTATAAAAACATAGAGATTAACGAGCATACACACATAGGTAATATGTATATTTATGATGATTAATGAAAAGTATTATGTATTGTAATATACCAATAGATATAGTTATACAGTAAGTTATCTTTAATATTTTGTATATTTTAAAAATATGATATACCTATGTATATAAGTACTTTATAAATGTATTAATTATTATTTAAATTTTTTATAGCTAATATTATTACTTATAATATTATATAGTATAAGAAAATATTAATGTGTTCTGTATTACTTGAATTCAATCAATTTAACTAATGAGCTATGATGATAGTTAAAAAATAATAATTTTCCAAGTACATACCATAATAATACCTAAATAGTAAATATATTACTTATTTTTAACAAGTTTAACGTTTAACATACAAGTACTTTTATGAATGATTGATTTTCTTAGAATTTTTTGATTAATGAATTCCAATTAAATTTTTATGTTTTTTATTTGTTTTCTTAATACACACTGTGTTATCATATAATTATATTTTAGTCGTAATAACATTAAATTTATCTAGTAATAACTAATATAATAATAATAGTACGTTGGTTGAATGGCATTATCTAAAAATTAAATATAATCAGTGCATCTTAAAAACATTTAAAAATAAATTAAACATTTATGTAGGAACCTATGAGAAATTCACTGATAATTATTTACGAGTATTATGATGTCTGAAACTATAATTTATGTGTTTTATTATGCGCTGTTTAGATTATAAGTAGAGGTATATTTTAGTGTGTCACAAACTTTTGGTAAAAAATACTTTGATCTTTAACTTTGAGAGTGGTTTCTGATACAGCAAATTTAATTTAATTGGTATTTTAGAGGGTTAAAATCAAAAAATTTCCACTGCTTTTCAAAACAATCTTGAAAAAATAAAACTTCTACGCAAACTCAATTTTCATCATTTTTAATCTTATCACCTAAGGTTGATTAATAATTGAGTATTTAATACAAATTTCCTCATAAGTTGTTCTATCAAAAACCTAAAAAATTCAAACTATCATAACAGTATAAAATAATGAAAATATGTATGAAGAAAATTGTGAACAAGAAATATACATATTTATTTTAAAATAGTTTAATTTTACTTTATTTAAAAACTTTAAAGAATATTTTAAAAATTGAAGTAAAAAAATTGTACATAGAAAATATACACTTATATTTTTCCGTTTCAGGTTTTAGATAAGAATTTAAGTACAAATTTCTTTTACACACGACGACGATATAATATAGTGTATATCCATATTATTTATATATAAATATATAATAGAAATAGAATCACTGCCACGTCTGAGTGGCGTGAAGAAATCGAAATAATAAATTACATACATACATAAGATATATATATATATATATATTTTC